AACAGAGAATAGTGCTAAGATGTTGCATTATAAATGTAATCAATCAATGATGCTTAGAAACGAGTATTTTAATAAAACTGCTTCACTGATTATTAATGTTTGAAAAAATTTAAAATCATAATCACGTGGTCCAAAAGAAAAAAGGAAATATCAGAGAGGACCTCGGCAGACCCTCATAATAACTGTGTCATAATTCCATAAAAAATATTGTTTTTACCTTGAAAATTTATTTAAAGCAATAGTTCGCCCAAAAATGAAAATGTGTTCAAAATTTACTCACCCTCAATCCATCCAAGATGTAAACAAGTTGTTTTTTTTCATTGGAACAGATTTGGAGAAATGTAGCATTACAACACCATTGCATGCACCAATGCATTATAATTTTTCAGTAGTATTATATCTAGATATTATATCTCTTAGTAGATCTCTCTGGAGAGCCAGATGGTTACACATTAAGTTTCTTATTCAGTTTCTAACATGCTCCCCAGTCTGGCCAATCTGCATAGCTGGGGAATGGCAGACACACCAGCGTGCCAACTGTGCCAAAAGAGGGGCACATTTGAGCACATCCTCGGTTGCTGTTTGAAGGCATTTGGGGAAGGGGCTTGTGCCATGACCAACTTCTAAGGTTCTTTGGGGGACACAATCAGCAAAGCATTCCAAGAAGCAGCATGCCTCCAAACAGTACATTTCATTCATCAGAGCTGGGGAGAAAGCACTTCATCAGTCTAGCTCTGTGGGAGGGCTTCTTACCACTGCACAGGACTGGCAGCTCCAGGTCGACCTAGGAAGGCAGCTCAAGTTCCCAGAAAACATCACAACCAAACTTCTCCACCCAGACATGGTGTTAACAAAAGAGGCATCAAAACAAGTGATAATACTAGAACTGACTATAGAACTGTTTTATCAGCTGTTTGAACTCTCATTCTGACGGCACTTATTCACTGCAGAAGATCCATTGGTGAGCAAGAGATCTAATGCTAAATTTCTCCAAATCTGTTCCTCTTGGATGGCCTGAGGGAGAGTACGTTTTCAATTTTAATTTTTGGGTGAACTATTAAAAAAAAGAAAGAGATTTTTAAAAATAATGATTAAGATCCACATGTATTCAATGTGTAAAGAAAAATGTCATTATGTTTTATGATTACACCACATGACAAATCATTAAATTGAAACTTTTCCTGAAAATTATATAAGTTTTACAAAACCATGTAACCAACATGAATACAAAGAGTACATTTCTAAGAACTTGATGCGTTTTAAATTAAACTTTTCCTTTTTTTTATTTTTTATAATGAACACTCTTACAGCCAGTTCACACCAAGAAAGATTACTATAAAAATAACTGTAACAATAACTATATTAGCATCCACAACAATGCACAATATTTTTCTGTTTATTTTAAGCGTGTGCTGCAGTTATGCTGTCTGCCACTTTAAATGCTCAAGCTCTTTAGAGTCTGGTGGATTGTGATTGGCTGTTAGTGTTAATCAGCTAAAATCATTCAAAGTGATTCTAAAGAAATGGTTCCTCTGTGCCATTACTGTTATAGCCGTGGTGTGGACTTCCGTATTCTCACAGAATTATCCTTGTGAACGGCCCTTTACCATCACAGACTGTAGGATGAAGCAAAAAATTGCTTTTCAGCTTCACTAGAGAAAAGTTGTATATTGTGCATGAAAACGTGTCTGAATATTTTATAAATCAACTCACTGTAACTGATAGACTCTCTTATTTTCGACCACACTGTGAACTTCAAATTGCCCAGGTATTGTGCGGTATCAATAAGCCCTCCACGAACTGTTTCTGTTTCTTGGTTCATGTTCTGGGCTCTGGAAGTACATTCAGAGGTCAGCACTGCTGCTTAACTTCAATACTGAGGGAAAAAAGAGGAAAGGGAGTAAACCTGCTCACCTCTCCAACATGTCCTTGAAGCTCTATTGAAAATTGTAGGAAATATAAAAAGTTAATGAAGACCGAACAGCATACACTAAATTATTTAGTTGATTTTAGAAAAAAATTACCAGTTTTATAATTGGAATATGTAGATTGTTTTCATACTTTTACTACTTTTCACAGGTTGTTGTTTTGCTGTACTGATTAAAATTATACAGAATTTAAAAAAAGAGATTGAGAAGAAGAAACAAATAAAGGGCTAACCTGAAGAAACTGGATGTCCCCACTATCCAATTTACCTCTCAGTTCTTTGATAGTTTTTGGCAGAGAAAATAATTCTTCATTAATCTTTTCCATTTTGCTTTTCATGAGCTGTGTTTTCTGGTTCTTTTCCTTCCTCAGTGCAGCAAGCATGGCTTTTTCTTCATCATATAAAAGCTGGTGAAGATGCTTAAAGTCCTTTTTGATGGAGTTCTCTGTGTGACAGACCTGGTGCTGAACACCAAATACACATACAACAATGTTATATAATGTCATAGAATTCTCATGATTAATTAAAAAAATAACTCCTAAATCAAACTCATCCTTCTTACACATATGTGCTCAGCCTGGTGACTGCATTCAAATTTGGCATGTTCTAGAATCTTCATTTTTCTAGTCAAGAGATCAAGTTCACTGCGAAAAACTTTCTAAAATTAAGACAACATGAGTGCGTTAGAATATTAAATGTGCCTAAATTGATTAAGACCACTAAACACCAGGACGTAGGCCTACCTTACGTTCCTCCGCGATCTCACTGATAGGACGGCACGCGTGATTTCTGTGTTGGTGTGACTCTCTGCAAACCACACACATAAGCTCTTCATCATGCAGACAGAACAGACTCAGTCTCTCCCGGTGAACCTCGCACAGCTCCTCTAAAGGGTCCCGGTAATTCAGGAAAGCGAGACTCAAATTTTTCAGAGCCAAGTTTACCGGAGGGTTCTTGGTGGATCTTTTTCGGCACAGCGGACATTCTCTTGAACATTTGGTCGTCCAGTATTGTTGGATACAGTCTCTACACACACTGTGGCCACACCGAAGCAACACGGGATTACTGAAAATGTCACAGCAAACAGGACACGTAAAGTCCTCTTCAGTAAAGGGACGTTTCGACGCCATTTCTACCCGCTCAATCAGCCAGTCTAACGCTTGCGCAATGCCAATGCTGTTGATTCGTTGTAAACACACAAAATCACCTACAATTTGGAACTAGCTTTCGTTTTCTTCTAAAGTGTTACTAATTTCAGATGCACTGTACACTTTCATTTTAATTTATTACTGATATCGAGATATCCGCTTTGAGAGTTTGGCGTGTCAGTTACTTGACCTGCTTGCTCTCTCTACTTGACATGGCCACCAGTGACATAATCACGCAATACCTGAGAAGGGTATAACTGCAGCCCGGAGATCTCCAAATGGGGACAGGAACTCCAAAACGGGGTGGGAGCTCCAAAATAGGGCGTGGCTTCCTCCGACAGACAGGCACATGACACGCATGCGCAATTTTCCCCCCAATCCACTTCAGTGCAAACTAAGCCCCACCCCTGATTCTAAAGATTTTATTGGTTGTGTCAATTAAAGTGTTGATTTCCTACATTATGCTACAAAAATTTGCTCCGAACTTGCTTGGAACGAATCGTTTCGAAATCATTGGCAAATGACTCTAATATTAAATGTATATTCTTAGAAAATTACTAGTTTTCTGACCTTTAGATGCATTTAAACCTGTTGTAGGGGACTCCAACACAAAATTAGGACACTTTAAATACCCATATACCTGCTCTTTTAAGTGCTTTTCCTGACCTCTTTTATTATTTACTGTCCTGTTTAACTACAGTTCTGTCCTTAGATAGATAGAAATTTCTGCCTCACTTTGGTAATTTCAAAGGTAGAATAATGCAACAATTCAAATATATATATATATATACACACACACACACACACACACACACACACAAGGAATAGTTTCAAATTCCATTTTAATTTCAGAAGTGCGTAAACTAAAAATAGACAGGGCTGCACATCATAATATATCAATTATAAACTGAAACATTGATCATGTCTTTTCAGAGGAGAAAATATAACAAGATGTGGTTTCGTTATGACTAAGATTATTTTAAAACAGTTCTTGTATTATCAGTCCATATTTATTGAAATAAATTGATTGGGCATTGATTGAGGTAAAAATCCATATGAATCCAGGAAAAAAAAGAAGTCATTAAAATGCTCTGAATACAACATGTTACAGTAGCAGTCTGTTTAAAAAAAAAAAAAAAAAAAAAAAAAAATTCCCACCATTAACCTTACGGTTCTCTTCAAATTCTTTTAATACACTACCAGTCACAAGTTTGGAAAGATTTTATTGGTTGTGTCAATTAAAGTGTTGATTTCCTACATTATGCTACAAAAATGCTAACACCTAAACCTACCCCACACCTGACCCTAACCTTAACCAGTGAAATTGACTGCACGGCGGGATTGGCGCTAAAGGGTTGCCATGCCCACTTATAATAATCTTTGGGTTTGTTGTTTGAGCTTGGCTCATACATCGATCCAATTAACGGAGGCAGGTGTCACAATGCTTGTCACTCCCGTAAATTAATGAACTGTGTGGACAGAACAAGATTGTGGAGTCCCAAAGGTATACTCAGAATTTGGTAAACATGCTTTTTCTTTTAAAGGCAGAGTGAGTGATTTCTGGTAGCCAATGTTGATATTTGAAATCACCAAAACAAACACGCCCCTACCCCAAAAGGGTCTTGCCCCTATTTTGATAGCTCCGCCCCACATATACGTACACAACCCAGGCAACGATTAGTTCTGTGAAACAAAGCAAAACCAATGTTACACCGTGTCTACGGACGTGAGCAGCGCGGCGCAACAAATCCC